GACGGTGGGAAACTGGAGGGTATGTAGCCTGACTCGCAGGAGCAGCCAAGGTGATGTCAGGCTGGCTCACTGGGAAGATGGTGGTGATGTTGGTACGATGCACCAGAGGAGCTGTGGTAGCGTCAGGTTGATCCTTGGGAGGAACAGCTCAGGAATTCTTTCACCAGCTCACTGGCTGCACTCACTCTCTTCCAAAGGGGGTTGGAAAGTGGAGATGCTGTCCAAAGTGAGCCTTAAGTCCTTGATAAAACTGGGTTTAGCTTCCTCACAGATGGGCTCTGCTGGGTCAATTTTTGGCTGGTTTGTACTGCCAGGTTGGGTGGAGGTTTAAAGAAGATCCAAATGCAGAGACTGAAGCTAAAGTGGTTTCTTGCCACTTTAATAACAAAAAGGGTAACAGAAGCAAAAATCCACAAACATAATTCACAAAATCCAATAATACTGAAAACGAGGAATACTCACAACAAGGGGGCAAAGAAATGATGATGATAAACCAGCAACAGAGACTGAGCAGGAGGTGCATATATGGGAGAGAGAAACAAAGACCAGGCTAATCAACAGATTGGGAGCAGGTGTTAAAAGAGGAGTTTAGCATGGAGCTAGGGAAAAGGAGACTGACACAAGAGGGCAACAAAGGGCAAACAAGAAAGAAACTGAAACACAATCAAAAATGACTAGAATGACACAAAATAGAAATAAAACCAATGAAAACCCAAAGATAAAATGTAAACAGAACCAAAACTATGACACACACCAGACTGTATATGGAGCATAAACCTCTACTCAGATGGCATGTTGCCACTTGACCTGCTGTTAAAATGCAAGTTACAAGCACAGAGCTAAACCACAGCTATTCCGATTTGTGTCTAAGCTTGGTTAAATTGTACAACTGGGTTTTATAACTTCTAATAGTTACACAAACCATAAAAAAACTGTCCAACAACCAAGTCATCAGAGACAACTCCTTCTGATTCTGCAACACAGTTTCAGATCGCTGTAATGTTTCCTGACAATCAACAAAACATTGTTTGATGCAACTTCAGTGTAATATTATGTAAAGCTTAAAAATCTAAGCACTGGGTGTTTGCCCTAAAAAGAAATGTTAAAGAGAGCAAAAGAAGATGATAAAAAATGCTTGAAACCTCAAGTCTGGCAATTTGACACAAACACCATTCTCTTTTTTTTATCATACTTTTATCGCACTAACACGTAAAAAATGGAGAAAAGTGGAACCCTGAATTGAATAAAACATTCTAAGAGGTCAAGAGTTTTTTCTTTTCTTTCTGTGTCCAGCGGCTTGTCCAGATTTGGTTGTTACATTGTTTATTCTAGCTAAAATAGTTTTAATCAACTACATTGGTTGTTTTCCAACCAATCTATATTTAGAATTTATCCAAACTCCCCTCACTCCCTTAACTCAAAACTCCCTGCATAATTATAATTAAGCAATTTATATACATGGAACAAGTGGAGCAATATGGCAATTGCCATACCGCTACACTTGTGAAAGTAAAATCTGTTGGGCTCCTTTTGGCATCAAGACAATTATTCTTATTGCCACCTTGCCAGACAGGACACTGTAAAAAAAAAAAAAAAAAAGAATTTATCCAAACTCTATCCAGCTGAAAGCAACTCTCCTACAAACTCACACATCTCGGCTGAGTAGTGAGGTTGTTTAAATACCTGTCGAAGTTCTTTTGCAGTCCAAACCCCTTCTAGAAACGGTCGCGTGGTATCACCATAGCGAGGCGTCGGACGTCATCAATTTTGGCCCTAAATGAATCACACCTCAACACGTGCTTCAGTAAAAACGCCTCTTCCATTTCTCAACCAAAGCCCTCGAGGACTTGGCTCATCTCATAACATCACTACATCTTCGACACTCTGATCACCTGCTTTCTGAAACAGTTCTGAACTGGATTTTAGCTTTGGATTATCCCTCACGAACATTGTTGTTTGCTCGACATAGGCTGGTGCTCAGAAGCGGTAACGACCGCAAGCCACGGACAATCTCCCCCCGGGTTCCTCTCTCTCTTTATCGGACTACACTCTCAAACAGGGCAACCAGTGACTTTTTCTAGTCTTTTTCAGCTCAACATTCTTGTCACTGACCTGAGTTTCATGTCTCCACAGAGAATCCGATTACACCACCCAGAGGAGATCCCACCTCTCTCTTTTGTTGACCATTTCAATAAACTTGTTTGAAACCTTCTAGTTTGTCTGATGAATATTGGGTCCAAGGTTAAGCAGCCATTACAAGTAGTGGTTTGTACAAAAATGGTGAAACAGAGTTTCATTGAGTATGACAATATTTTAAATCTTGTTCCAAATATTACAATCCTGCAACTGTAATCCTGCAATTTTCCAGGGGTTGTTGAGGTAGATCCACTCATAAGGACATCACAGTATGTGATGTAAAATCGTGTTTAGAGGAGATAAGTTATAGGAAGATTTTGATCCCTAAAGTCAAATTGATGGATCCCAAATTAAGACTGATCATCACCTGCACAGAACTCAAGACGCAGCTGAGCTCCTCATTTCATATAAAAAAGAACAAAAAAAACTAAATCATGTTAAATAGAGTGGTTAAAATCATAAAAGTGTTCTCTACTTTAATCCCCACATGTAGATAAAAAATGTGTTGTTTCTCTCCAAAGGCACCGCATGTATGATAAGCTTTTTCAACTCGCATCATATATCCAAATGTTACCAATTTTGAGATTTGAATTCATTATTCTAGATAAGATCTGCATCTGTTCGTCTTCCAAAGAGCATTGAGATTATGTCTGTGGTGATTTGGTGCAATAAACATGAATGGAACTAAAATCAACCTAACTAAAAATACCAATAGTTGAATGATTTTATAAAAACAACTAATTTCTCTATGTTTAAGAGTTGATTTTATAAATGTATTTAAATGTATCCACAGTGAATTTGGCAACACTGCAAAAACAATCTAGAAATAAGTAAAAACAATTCGTAAATTAAGTGTATTTACCCTTAATTTACTTAATTTAAGTAGGTATACAAGATGATCTGCCAATGAAATTAGTATGTTTATTCCTAAAATAAGATAATTAGATAATATGCACTTGAAATAAGACAATGCAATTGTTTTTTCTTATTTTAAATGTAAATTGTCTTGTTCTACTGGCAAAGGGTCTCACTTACCTCCTCAATTCAAGACAAATTACACTTATTTTAAGAAAAAAAGACTTATTAAGATTTAATTTTTTTGCAGTGAAGAGCCACTGAGTTTGAATGTCTTCTTTGAAATAACAGGGGTATCTGTTGTATGATTTAAGTTAAGGAAAAAAAACTTCCAGCAAAGGTGTTTTGACAGAAAGATAACTACAAAAAATAAAAAATAACCAATGGTAAGATTTTTGCAAGTAAACATGAAACCCTCTTTGCACAAAAACCTGTAGTTTAGGGTAGATACCAGAAGTAATAACTTCCTCAGAGATTTCTACCCTTGTAATTTGACGTGACCCAGATTTCTGCAGTGGAAATAAACCGAGTACAAGTATGGCTTCAGAAAAAAATATTGTGGGAATACCTACCTAGATTTCAAATATAATGTTAAAAACAAGTTTAGCTTTTAACTTGGGCCACGAAGAACTATCAAGAATATGTTAATAATTACAGGAACATCTCAAAGATGAAAAAAAAAGAAAAAAGAGAGGCTCAAGAATTTTGCTTATTACTATTCATATATCATTTGATCCTGTAACATTAATATGCAGAATTCCACAACACTCCAAATGTACTAGTGAACTCCTGCATTCTTGAGGCATTTATAAGTTTTAACCTGAAGCACTTGCTGAGTGGATATCCTTTCTTTCACCGCTCCAAGCACCACAAGCCTTTGCTGCTCCTTTTGTCTAAAAACATTTTGGTGCATTTTTCTGGGCCAACCTCCCTCATCAAAGTGATTAAGCAATTAAACTGATTGTGCCGATGCTCAAACGAACAAGAGAAGGCCCCTCGAGAAAGGAGTGCAAACGCTTTCTTGAAGATAACAGCATAATTTGGGGCCTTATCAAAATAAAGCCCAAATATGCACTCCTGTTTCAACTTCAGGGATAAGACAAGGTAAGAAGAAACAAGTGAAGGTGAAGCCTGCCAGCTTTTTTTTTTATTTTGCTGTTCATTCATATTCAAAAAAAAAAAAAGAAGAAGAAGGATTCATCAGAGACATCACATTCCTCCGAGATGATGAAAGCTATAGATGCTGCACACACTCAAGGATGGCAGATGTAAATAACCAAAGTAGGGGAGGTGAGTCAACATGCAGTTCATTTCTCAGAGCAGCTGCACACATCAATAATGAAACAAGAGTCTGGCAGGTTACCCGATTCAAAGAAACAAAGTAAAAATTTGTGAAATCCCTCTCAGTCATTATCTTCTGTCACCTGGGCCTACAGAGTTATTAGGGAACTGTGGGACTGCTCATAGACCTGTCTAGAGGCAAAGAACAAACAACAACTTACACAAGCTTTGAATATTCAAAATACACTCTGATCTATCTATCTATCTATCTATCTATCTATCTATCTATCTATCTATCTATCTATCTATCTATCTATCTATCTATCAGCGTATCATATATATATACAGTTTATAAAAGGACGGCTGGCTGTATCTTTAAACTTTTGTCATAATAGACCAAAATGTAAAGGCATGTTTGTTGTTAGTCTAACATCAAAATCAAATAATCTAACCTTAAATCGTATTGGTCCGTTAAATGGAAATATTTGCCTCCAAGTATGGACAACATAAACAGGCACTGAAAGACCATGGCCGTAGCTAGAACTGGGGCCCCAAATTACATTGGGGCCACATTATACCTTGTGCCAGCTCTGTCAAAATCCCACCTATCAACTCAATACAAATGCAATGTGTTTTACGCACATGTATAATAGATTGCAGAAGGACTTCAATCAATATGGAGCTGCGTGGGTGTGGAGGAGGCGAAATGAGAGAAAAAGGAAACTCACCCCCAGATGAGATCTGGAGGTACAGACGGGGATCTGCAGCTCGGATGGCGGCTGTGTAACGATCCTCTATCCCAGGCACCTGCGCCTTTTTCTCGGGCATGAGCCGAACCCTAAGGCGGCCCCCATCCGCTCCAAGCCACCAGTCCAGGATCTCCCTGAGGTCCACCTCCAACAGAAGCACAGGGTCCTCTTCATATACCGCCAGCCCCCCGCATCCATTCTTTACCAGATCCTCTCCTATTTCAACCACCACTTGGTTGGATTTCCTGTTCGCCTTGGTTAAACCCATATTCAGAACTTTGGACAGCGGCCGCTTGTAGAAGAAGGGGAGCTGTCCAGCAGCGGACCTGTTTCCCGTTTCTGTAGCAGATTTCGGCTCTACAAAAGTGGCAATGGTTTTCTGCAGAGGAATGCAGTGCATTTTTAAGTTTGCGCGCACTGTGTAGCAGCCGTTGAAACTCTGGCAGTCGCCGTTTAGGGGTCTCTTAATGAACTCCGCCAAATAATATCGCAGCAGCGAAGGCACGGCGAAATCCACGGCCAGGGTTCTTCTCTTGTTTCTGGACATTATGGTTTGGTTGGAATCTCTCTTGGTACCGATTTCACCACTGTTGCTGCCGCCTGAGCCGGTGAAGCTGGCGGGAGGAATATCCATGCCAGCTGTGGTCCTCGGCGGGGCGCAGCGAAGCTCAGTGAAAAATACTGCAGAAAAAACAAGTAAAAACAACACCCTGATGTACATGGTTTCACCGATGGGTAGTTTGTTCGGCAAATTCTCCTATTTCGAAATGCCCCCCTTTTTCCCTTCACATAAGCAGCGCAGGGATAGAAAATAAATACATCAAAAATAATCACAAAGTGCCTATGGATGGATGGATGCTGCGTGTCCTGCGCCTCCTCTCCGGTGCGCACCCGAGGAATAACGGGCTTTTACATCCGCTCTCCCCTCACAGTTGCTGTCCTCCGCTTTTCAAACGTGAAAAAGTCCCATTCCTCTCCGCTCGGTTCTTTGGCCACAATGCCTTTAATCACCGGTGCCAGCAGTCAGACGCACTCCGGGACGCTGATTTATATGCTGCTCGGGTCCGCTTCGGTTCCTTTCAAAGACTCCCTGTCTCTTGGCACAGTTGTGACGGCGGCACAAGTGGTCTCTCTGTCAGCAGAGAGGGGTGGGAGGGAAAACGCCGCAACCGCGCATCCAGAATGCCAGCAAAAAATAAAAAAATAAAAATCAGGGGTCTTCTAAAGTTAAAGAAATAAGATCTGAACGCTCCTTCTGCTTTCAACCTCTTATCGTCGCCTCTCCTGTGCCTGCACATGCGGGAAAGTCATTCATACAACGTCAGCCAGAAGGGGGTGGGGGGGTCTCAGCAGTCACCGCGGACGCACGCATCTCATGCGCCTTTAGAGCAACCGTGACGGAGATTGTATCTTTATTTGAATTAGAAATGCCTCAAGGTATTCCAAAAACAACCAAGCTTCGCCCTTTATGACTTTTTTCTTTTTTCAAATGAAGCTTCAAGCCTTTTACGTGCCGGAAATTGGATTGTAGACCCTTTCTCTCCAAGCTGTGTGCAAATCAAATAGTTTCAGGGCGCCAATTTGGGTTCCAATCAACTATGTTATGTCTTACGGCCAGAGGCCAATATGTTAGATGATCAAATAGATGCTGCGCCGCTGTACAGGTTCGTGCCTCCTTAATTAGAAATCAGGGGGTCGGTGCGGTGAAGCCGGGTTGGGTTGCAGAAAATGCTCCTCTGCTGCCTCCCTTCACCTGAACACGTTTCACAAGTTGCTGAAGTTGATCAGAGAAGACACCCGCTAGATGGCGTTATCATATACTCCTGCTGCTTAAATACAGCTTCATTGATAAATAGGCTACCCTCATTTTGGAATTGCTCTGGATTTTAAAGACAGAATCATTGGGTGTCTAATCTGTAGAAAAGGATTTGAATTGTGAGTCAAAGGATTATACAAGTATGCCTCAACAAATTGGATGATGATTAAAAGTTTATTTATTTAAGTAATGAAATTTACAAAAATGTAACCAATACAGCTTAAAATGCGTTAAAAATGGTTTCAGATCATTGAATTCTACACAAAGAAAACCTTCATCGTACAAATAAAGTTTTGAAACATGGATTTTCTATCGTAGCTCAAGGAAGCAGAAGGGAATCAGCCACACATGCTCTGTATGAGGTTGAGCACTCCCTAGATGTATCCACAGTGGTGGAGACACACTTGTGGGAAACAATTGCTATCAAGACTTTATGATAATATGAAATTTTTAACCTTTAAGAATTAATTTGGCCCGCTCCTCCTTACAGTATTATTTTTACTAGTCACATTTTGAGTGTTTTGAACTAACACTAGAAAGTCTGACCCCTTATTCAAAAACCAAAGACAGAGAGGATGCTATTCTGTGATACTTAAGAGGCCTTGTGTTTGAACTTGGGTTGTCTCTGCCAGTTCTTGAAGCCAACAGCCAAATATATAGGCTTACTAATGGTCAAGGTGTTGCTGTGTCCAGCTTCTATTAGGATCAGTAACTGGCCAAATTGTAGCAAATGCCCATGAAAAAAAGAGGACATGCCTTTGTGACTGCATGGCTGGTGTACTTCAACATACTTTCTTTTTGTGTGAACAGGTCTTTAATCACATATCTGTAACAAATGCTGCTGCTGCACATCTTAACACAAATAATGTAGCACATTTCGCTAGTTACGGGATCACTTCATTGACTAACCATCCACTTTTTGTAGATTTAAAAAATATTTAGTTTTTTAAAAATTATTTTAACAGCCTTGTCTCACTCTACATCTGTAGAATTATCTGCCATCACAACCCATCTTAACTGAAAAAAGTCACAATGGTCAACAAGCACAAACATTTTTTTAGCCTAGCTCTGTTTAATTAAAGTGTGCTGGAAACTGGTCCCTTGGATAGTTTAACCTTGCAAAAAGAAAACTGTCAACATCCCCCGTTTAATGTGTAAATTCTAGCATTTTAAAGAAAGCCTCAGTTTTCCGGTGCATTTTGGAGGCTTTTTTAGCAAGAAGTATAAATAATTAGTTTGCTAATCCTTATTTAGGGAATGTGGATTATCTTTCAGTCATTAGTTTTGCTGAAAATTTCAGTATCTCTTTAGAAAAACATTAGAATGTCAAATTTAATACCGCTGACTGTTGTCATGGATGCTTCCGGTGGCACTCTGGGAAAAAAATGCTATTTTTTTCAAACACAGACCACCACCCCAATAATCAAACAGACATTAACATTCTAAATATTCTACAGTATATTAATAAAGGTTATTGTATACAGATCATCACTAATAAATTATGAATCATACCAAAGTCATAGCCTTGAAACTTATCAGGACACCACTTACATTGATTCAAGATGTCACAATGTTGCCTAACCAGAATCCAGATTACCATGAACTGGAAAATAATCATGAACTGTCCTTGTCTTTGAATGTAGTAAAGAAACTGCACAGCCTGAAAAACAGCAAGGTTTCGCCCCAGAGACTTTTGAACTCATATTAACCCCAGGCCCCAGTTTCACACACCCTCCATCATACTTCTCCACCACCCATGACAACACTGAGTACTGGATCTGATCGGGGGTTTAACACCCTCACCTGTCTTTCTTACATTTCCGGTACATACAATTTTCAACAAAGTGTCATGATGGGTATCAGAAAAGCCCAATATGCAGAACACCACGGAAACGGATGAAAAGTTTAACAAGTTTATTGATCACAAGCACATGGAATAAACACAGGAACTGGTTCAGGCCTGGGGGCTGGTTCACTGGAGTCTGTGTGGATGACAGTTCATTTAGCTTGGAAGCAGTTGAGTTTGAGTTTGAGAGTTTCAGGTTTATACCTTGAGAAGTCCGGTTTAGGCTTTGAGAGAGGAACTGTTGGGTCCAGAGACTGTTTTGTTCTGCAGAGTCCGATAACCGCTTCAGCGTCTTACTTCTAGCGTGAGGGCAGACCTTGGCCTTGGGTTTCCAGCTCTTTGTCCAGAGCTGCATGGGAATCCAGAGAAGAGTCTTCAGGTTTGGCTCAGAGGGCAGGCTCGGCAGGTTAAGCTCATCCAGAGCTCACAAGGGAAAAACAGGATTCCTGAAAGCAGAGACAAAAGGATTAGAATCCTATCTGGATTCAAGAGCAACAAAAGGTTCTCAGAAGATGCTAGGCTCCGGTGCTAACCAAACTGGATTTAACACTGCGGCGTCGAGGCAAGGTCTGAAGGCAGGTTATATACTGTGGTTCCTCTGATGATGAGATGCGCCTCAGGTGTGTCGAAGGCTCGGCTCAGGAGGATCCATGGCGGACTCTGCTGGAGAAAGGTGGAACTTCTCCAGCTCCCAACACAAAGTTGATATTTTGCTATACAAGACCTGTGCATGCATCCTAGTAATTTTATCAAAATCTATTTTTTCCCTCTAAATTGAGGCTAGCCTTGTTGGCAGTTTGCTTGGTTGATTACATTTCTTGTAATGTTTGTGTTTTTCTATTTCTCTAGCCATCCTGATATTTGCTGGGTAATGCACATCTGAATAAAAATAACTCTAAGTTTTGTGCCTAAAGGTTTCTGCTCTGAATCTTTACTACTTCTCTTTCCCTGATAGCAGATGCTATTGAAGCACAAGTACTTCACACTTTTCTAAATTCTGCTTCTTCATCCTTTGTTAATGAAATGGAAAAAAAGTCACTTTCATCAATTGAAATTTAGGAATTGATTCTCAATATGTACTGTCCATGATTCAAAAACAAATCTCTTCATAATCTTTACTTGTTTTAGGTAGCTAAATTAAGGTTAAACATAATAATATCAGGGATCAAAGATTTACACAATCATATTATTTTTATAAAGACAGTTTTGGTTCCATTAGATGTCTCAAACTCAATCTGACCTCTTTATTTGGTTACCTGTGCAATATGGGCTATGCAAGTGTTTTGACCATGGTGTTTACTGCTCACCTGCTCTTCAATATTTTTTCACAGCACTTTTTTACTGTAGCAGTTCACTCTTCTTTTTGTTGTTTCTTTTCCTCTCAATTGTCTCTCTCCTCCAAGTTGTACTGGCTAGCCATTTACCTTCCCTGTTAATCTGGAAAAGAAAGGAGTGGGTGAAGAGTGTATGTTTTTTGTCCTAAATGGTGCTGCTCTAAATAGCTGCAGGCGATACCGCAAGGCAGGTACCGGAGTGAAATGCACCCCAATACTGTCCATTGGTCCTGTCTGTGTCAGGCTCAGAACAATAAGGCCCAGTATTTGAGTTGGACATAGTGTTAGATTTCTCAAAACGTTTACTAGAGATGGAACTACAGTGAACAGCATCGGCATCAAAGGCAGGAACCTCTGCGGCTGGAGACAGCAGGTTAGTGACCACGTCTTTCTGGAGTTGGATGATAATGAATGTGAGTCACTAACCCGGCCTTATAGTTAAGTCTGAGCCCAGATGGTGAGGTTGGCTCCAGCTGGTTGGCTACAAACACAAAGCAGCTGGTGCCACCCAGAGAGTCCCAGACCCTTATTTATCGGAGGGCAGAGGACAGGCAGGAGATCAGAACCGAGCAGATGAAGGTAGGCAGGATAATCCCGAGGGTGAAACCAAAACCAATGCCAGTGACATGCTTGGTAATCAGGGGCAGGAGATCAGAGATCCAAAGAGGTACCAAGGGAGAATCCAGAACGGAGTCGGGAAACAGTTCCAGATACGATAAATAGACAGGCAGGGATCTGGCAGGAGTCAAAAGACAGGTCAGGCAAACAGAACAGAATGCTCGAGAACTTCTCATCACAGGCTCAAAATAATCTGGCACTGATGACTGGTCTGAAGGCAGGTTAAATAGAGTGTGAAACAGGTGGAGGGTAAGGAGAACTGGGCGAAGGTACACAGGTGAATGAAATGAGTAATGAGACCAGACAGTGCTAACATCATGACAGCCTTGTCTGCAACCACTGTGCTGAAACCACATCAGGAACTCTCCCACCTCTCCTGAGCCCAGCCACATAGCCAGTTCAGCTTTAGAAAGTAAAGATCCCTTGTCGTCTTTACTGAACCAGGTGATAAAAGTCCCTGTCTGTGCTGTGGAGCTGTAAATGCCAATGGTTTAAACACATTTCTGTAGGGAAGAGCTGTTCAGCTTAGTTGTAGCCACAGGTAGTCCAGGTACCCCCGTTCACATAAGTTGTCAAATGAAGCTGACTGGACTTTCATTGCAAAGGGATCCATTTTTACAAACATTTTAAGGCCAGCTTGGTTCTTGCTATTCAGTTGCCATAAAAAAGTTAGTTATATCTCCAACTGTTTTAAACATTAGGCTCTAACCTTCTACATTTAGCATATACAATTGACATTCACAAGACCAAAAAGCATGCAGTTTCTACCCTAGACTAC